AATAATAAACCCTGGCAGGTGTCCTGAATCGAGATAACCCAAGAGATGAAGAAGGTAAATATTTATCAAAAAAGTATGTCATATTTATATATGAAGTTGAAATTAAAACCCCAAAGTCAAAATGTTTCAATTTGAGGCAAATACATAGTAATGACCCTATTTTGACCAGATCTGCAAATGGTCAAAATAGGTTCAACTTCATGTATAGTCAGTCATATTAATAATAAAATTGATGATGAAGATAATGTGATGCAGAAAGAGGAAGAAAAAGAGTCAGATAATTTGGATGATATTGACAGTAATGAAAAATGGGGAAATGATGATGATAGTGGTTGGGAAAATGTAGAAGATATCAAAGAAGAGAACAAAAATATATGCATGGAGTTGGTTGAATATGCAATGAAAAAGTATAAGTCATATAGAAGAATTCCTGACTATGTTATTCAGGAATTGAATAATAAAAAATAGATTTTAATTTTTTCCCTTCTAATTATTTTTATTTCTAATAGTTTCTATATTAGAGGCCTGCATGGATAACAATAATTGAACCTGTATCCAACTCATACCCACATGATATTAAAATTTGTACCTATACCAAACCTGTTCCTCAAAATTTTATATCCAAACCCAACACATACCAAAAAAAATTTTAACCAAACCGAGAATATACCATACCTTTTTTTATTTAAAAAAAATATAAAAAGTACAATAAAAAAAATTTTTAATTAAGAATTACTATTGAAAACACTACATAAACAAGAACACTACTCCACAAAACTCTCCAGGAGTGGGATCAATCACTGAAATTTCATCAAATGTTATATCCTCCACTGCTGTTGTGATATCATACACTGCCATTAACTTTTGTGTTTTTACAGAATTCATGGCAGAAATAGTAAAAACTTCATCTTTCTCTTGTCTCCTCCTTATTGAATTTACAGTGTTATTGATATCGTGGAGCATTTCTATAATATAAAGGAAGGGAGAATTGGCAATCATTTGAAAGATATGAATTGATTGATTGAAATGAATGATGAAGGGTTGAAGGGGAAAGCCATAACAGATAAGTGGATGGACACATTAGCCAAAACTTAAAAAAATAATATTAAATTGTAAAAGAAAGAAAATGAAGAAGGAATGCAACAAATGATGAAAACTGATCTTAACTATTTCTTGATTATAAAGTAGTGATATAGTAAGGCAGATTGGTGATTGATCAAAGAAAAGGACAGATTAGTAAATATCATCCAATGGAATAAATAGAATGAATAGTTTGAGTAAAAAAAATAACAATAATTCAAATTAAATTAAGAATTGTATTTATTACAAATAGAAAATCTATGATTTTATCCTGCTATGATGGATTGTATTTTGTTTTATGAGCAAGCATATGATTTTTTTGTCATTCTAAGTAATGCAAGATCCATCTCAACTAAATGTATATGCCACTGAATTATGCACTAAAATTTCATATGCAAAAATTATTGTTAAGAGAAATTTTTTTTTAGTGTAAGCCATCTAAGTTGCATAAGCTGATAAATTTCTTAGCTGGCTTAGGGGTTGGCACCATTAACTGCAATTAAATGATTAACCAGTTAACCATCATTTAATATTAATTTTTTTATTATTACAGTCAAGCCTTGTCACAGCTATACATGCAGCCCAAAGTATTTTGACACTGTCATAAAGTGGTCACACATGTCATAAAGGGATGTTACACTTATTTTTTAATGGTACAGTGAACCTTCCATAAGTGCACCCCCTTGGGAATGGACGAGAGCGTGCATTTATGGAGGGATGCATTTATAGAGGAGAAGAATTTTATTGGTTGCACGTGATACTAATAAAAATTATTATTAATTACTATTATTATTACATATTAATATTATTGTTGACTAAAAATTGTTCCATTGTGGTTTGCTTCATTGATTTTTTTTTTTTAAATTAATAAATTGCACAAGGGCATTAACTTGTCTTAATTGTTCTTAGAATTTTCTTATTTTATTTTGGTTACTTTTATTAAACATAAATTTTTTAAAAAAATTGTGATCTTTTATCCTTTGTTTAATCCTTAATTTTTAATCTCGCATATATATAATTTCTCCATTTGTGTATTCATCATTATTATTCTAATAACTCTTTGTCAATTAAAAAGAAAGAATTAGCAAACATTCATTTAATCCTTTATAAGCAATAATAGCTTACTTCATCCTTTATTTTCCATTACTAGTATTAAAAAAGAGGTAACAAAAATGATAAATAGATATAAATAACATTTGAATTAATATTGTAACACGAATTTATTTAGCAAATAAATCACATAAAAGTCACGAGCGTGTATTTAGAGAGGGTGGTTTTATATGAACGGGATGGGCGGTGCAGAATATGGAGGGTGTGCATTTATCTCTAATTCCCAAGGTTGGGAATGAGACATAGTGTGCATTTATGGAGGGATGTATTTATAGAGGGTGCACTTATGGAGGGTTCACTGTAAGTGCTGTAATTAATTTCTTCAAAATTGGAATAATTTTGACCATTGAAACCACCAAACCAATTTGGGTTCCATGTATAGTCACAGTGGACCTTGCTACAACAAATTTCTTGTTCCAATGGATTTAAGTATTGGCCCCTTTTTTTATTAATTAAATATTATTGTCATAACAGATTTTATTAATAAATTTGCTCCATAACATTAATGGATCTTTTTATATGACTACTAGTCTCATCACAGCAGACCCACATGAAAAATGCTGTAATTGCCTTTGAGATAGCTTTTAATTGCTAATTCGTGAATGAATCAGAGAAATGATCAAATCTCACTATCCTCATACATTATATGTTGTGCGTGAATTTGGAATCTGCGTCAATTTGAAATTCACGCGCGTGAAATTCAAATTAGCCAATCAGAATTTTGTATTCAAACACCCACCCCAAAATTTAATTGGTAAATTTCAAATTGATTTCACGCACAACAATGCTAAGAGCTTTCTCTACAAAATTGCAATTTCATTTTGTTGTTACATCACGTTACCATGAGAAACTGAGCCTCAAAGTTGCACGAGTTTACTATGTTAACCCCAAAACTGTCGTGTTATATGCGATTTTTTTATATTAACAGTCGCAGGACATTGCGGATCTACAGGGGGTCAAGTGTCACTCACTAATAAAAATTTTTTGATCAACACGGAATTT